GCCGGCAAAGGAGGCAAGAAGAAGAGAAAGACCAGGAAGGAGAGCTACGCCATCTACGTGTACAAGGTGCTGAAGCAGGTCCACCCCGACACCGGCATCTCCTCCAAGGCCATGAGCATCATGAACTCTTTCGTCAACGACATCTTTGAGCGCATCGCCGCCGAGGCTTCCCGCCTGGCTCACTACAACAAGCGCTCCACCATCACCTCCAGGGAGATCCAGACCGCCGTGCGCCTCCTGCTGCCCGGAGAGCTGGCCAAGCACGCCGTGTCCGAGGGCACCAAGGCCGTCACCAAGTCCACCACTTCCAGTTGAGCAGCTCACCCTGCTGCTGTTCACCCCCCAACGGCTCTTTTCAGAGCCAACCACAAACCAGAGAGTTAAGAACCTGTTTACTGCTGGCAATTACTGATTTTGTTTGAATTTTTCGACGTTAGAATAAATCAAAATTCAAGTTGATCTGAATACAGTTTAAATTTGTAGGGATGCTAATTCAGTGATAAGGAATTGGATATTTGATTAAAAAAAAAAATATATATATATATATATATTAAAGATCATTGAAGGTCAGAAAATAGTCTAGTCATCTTGATTCTTATTTCATCAAGATTCACAGTGATCTGAAGTGGGGGAAAATAAATCTAAGACTGATATTTCCAATTGGAAATGACTACTGCCTTATAAGGTTTAAAATGGCAATAAAAGACAGAAAAATGTGTATACAAAAGTTACTATCTAATGCCAGGAGAAAAGGGCCCAGAATCCTAAAAATAAACCATGTTTATGTGTCTGTTGTATATATTTGTGTGTGTGTGTGTGTATATATACACAATAAAGTGTCTGATATCTAATATTGACTTTCCTTTTTTAATGCTTGTGCTATATGTATACACATATATATATAAATACAGTATACACAAGAATAAATTGAACTCTGATAAACGTTCAGAGAAAATGGAGGAAGAGCCGTTGGTTTGGCCCCGCCCCCAGCTGTCCTCTATCACGTCCTCAGCCGAAATATATAGCCTGACCGTCCGCAGCTCAGACTTACGTTGATCTTTGTGACCAGCAGACTCAGACACAATGAGCGGCAGAGGAAAGGGAGGCAAAGGTCTCGGGAAAGGGGGCGCTAAGCGCCACCGCAAAGTTCTCCGTGATAACATCCAGGGCATCACCAAACCCGCCATCCGCCGCCTGGCCCGCCGCGGCGGAGTCAAGCGTATCTCCGGCCTCATCTACGAGGAGACCCGCGGGGTGCTCAAGGTCTTCCTGGAGAACGTCATCCGGGACGCCGTCACCTACACAGAGCACGCCAAGAGGAAGACCGTGACCGCCATGGACGTGGTGTACGCGCTCAAGAGGCAGGGCCGCACTCTGTACGGTTTCGGAGGCTAAACCTAGCCCGGACAGACCCCCACAACCCAAAGGCTCTTTTCAGAGCCGCCCACCACCTCAAAGAGCCCAGATTTCTATTCTACCGTTTCAAATAAGTGGCTAAAACTGCTGTTTGTCATCAGATTTTGACGGTTCAGTTTCGTTCAATGAACTCTAGACTGCCGCCTCGTGGCCCCTCCCTGCAACTGACCACATCAACATATCAAAACAGAAAACTCACCAAAATCTCCTCAGATGTTTAAAAAAAGTACATCATTTAAGTAATAATTGTTCCAGTACTGCACAATGTCATAGCTATGATATCCAGAAGTCCAAATATGCCATTTCATAAACATATTTGAACCGTTTATACCGAGTTCTGTTGAATACAGAAATTCATATAATGTATACACTGTTGCATTTTATTCTAATAAAACATGAACACCAGCCACATCTAGGCTATTTTGGTTCCCTTAAGGAGCAAATGTTCACTAACCAAGTTACCTCTAAGACATTGTATCTGGGGTTTAATTATTGAAAAAAAAAAATAATTTCAAGCTGCAGTTGTTCATTTCTTTGCTGGATTTTCAGATTTGAGATTGTTAAAAATAGTTTAATGCACTGTAAATCAATAAACTTTTTAGTTATACTCTAAATTATATGAAGAGATCTAGCATAGAATATTCATTAAAGATACTAGATCTATGTCAAAGCTAAGATCTGAAATCAAAACAATGGAAGACTTAAAGTCCACTCTGAAATGTTAAAAATTCATTAGTTGCTTTTAAATTAAGTTTTTCAGGCAAAAATCTTAGTTTTCAAATCCCAGCTTCTATTTCTAAGTATTTTTT